ATAAAATTGTACTGTCAAGACCACCACAGGATCTTTCACAAATAAAAATATTTATGTAAGGACGTGAATAATTTCCAAAAATAACAAGAGCTAGTACACAGGATAAGGGCAGTAGAAAAGAAGAGAGGATAGTGAGGTGATGAGAGAGAGAGAGGAAGAGCCTGGGAAGGAGGAAGAAAGAGTGAAAGGAGAGGACAGAGAATATGCTTTAAACAAATCCAGTAAGCAAAAATTTAGATTGGACAAATTAAGAAGTAGCGATGCATTCTACAAAAAGATCTGTTGATAGGATGCAATTAAATGAAAAGTCTCATTACATCTAACACACACTGTTATTTATTTATAAAAAATATACTTTCGTATCTATTTTTCAGGAATCAATCTGCATGGTAAAGTTAAGTACAGTTTTACAAAACTTTTGAGTTCACTAAGTTAGACCAATGTTTTTACTTATAACATCAATAAAATTTACTTCTATACCACTGGCAATTGTATCCAAGGGTCAACAATTCACCTCTGTGAAACTCAGCATTAGGATTCTCTAAGAACACCATCACATTTTTAAAGAGCCTATTTAAGGCAATAAATGGGAGTATGTAAAAGAACTGCACCAGTTATGCACAAGTGCTCTTCTACATAATCCACTAGCAGCGGTGATAGTGAGGAGCTTGCTTCTCTGCAAAATTTTATTAAAAATGCCCTAACATTGTAACAGTCATGGCTAAAGGACAATGTTGGGTTTGAAGTCTTAAAGATATAACTCTCATGCTCCACATAAGAGGACTTGTGTCCAAGCTGTAGAAAGCTGACAAGCACAGTGACTTATTTCACACACTGTAGTTCTCAATCCTCCCACCAGTCACATTAAAGAGAACTCCCAAAATAATACCACTCATTGCTCTGTGATTCTCAACCCACCACGAACAAGCTGACTAAAAGCATAGTCCCTTTGGGTACGAGAGAATACTATCCTCTGAGTTACACCGAGTAAATAACAACTCAGGACACAATCTACCCCCTTCAAAATGCTTTTAGAATATATATGTAAAGCCTACTATCACCTACAAATGCACAAAATCTGGAACTATTTCAGGCAAATATAAAGCATTACAATTTAAAAGCCAACTAATTCAATAAAAAAGTAACAATTTTCAAAAGCCAGATGAAATTTGCAGTTAAATTACTCACATAATAATAGTTTAAAAAACTTACATAAAGCTGCTTAATGAAAGCAGGTGACAGATACGACATGCACTGTATACTAAACATTAAATGAAATCACCTTAAGAGCTCAGTAAAAAATTAGTAGAAGGTTAATTTGAAAATTATATATACTTTCTTAAAGAAAATTTTATACGTTTCCAAACACACTAAATTTTAAGGTTCAAAAATACTCTAAAATGTTTTTAAAAGATAAAAGTAGCAATTGTTTTTAAAATTCAACACAGGTAAACAATATTGAGATAAAAATAGTGTCTTATGCAGGAATTTTCTTTAAAAAAGGCACTAAGAATGGATAAAGGAAATTTGGGACATTTAATTTCAACATAAAAAAATTACTGCAAGATGATTTTAACTCATCTGTTAAGAAATGATTCTATATTATTATGTATTATTTTTTCCGTATTATACCTAAACACTCAGTATTAGGTGTTTTAGACTATAAATGTACTAACTTGCTTTTAAATCCAAAAAAAGCCAACAGAGGAAGATAGAAACCTAATTTTTGTTTAACATTTAAAAATATTTTCTGCATAGTTTCCCCAAACATTCATTAGCATTCTAATTGTGACCAGCATTGTAACTTTTTCTTCTTTTATTGTGCTTTAGGTGAAGTTTACAGCTCAAGTTAATTTTTCATACAAAAATTTATACACATATTGTTATGTGACACTCGTTGCAATCCCTATAATGTGACAGCACACTCCCGCTCTCCACCTCGGGTTTCCTGTGTCCATCCAACCAGCTCCTGTCCCTTCCTGTCCTCTCTTCCTACCTCTGGGCTGGAGTTGCCCATTTGGTCTCGTGTATCTGCTTAAGCTAAGAAGCACGCTCTTCACAAGCATTATTTTGTTTTATAGCCCAGTCTGACCTTTGTATGAAGTGTGGGCTTCTGGAATGGTTTTAGTTCCGGGTTAACAGAGTGTCTGCGGGCCATGGCTTTGGGGGTTCCACCAGTCTCAGTCAGACCGTTAAGTCTGGTGTTTTTACATGAATTTGAGTTCTGCTTCACACTTTTCTCCCACTCTGTCTGGGACTTTCTGTTGTGTTCCCCCTCAGGGTGGTCATTGGTGGCAGCTGGGCACCATCTAGATCTTCTGGTCTCAGGCTGATGGAGTCTCTGGTTGATGTGGCCCTTTCTGTCTCTTGGGCTAATATTTTCCTTGTTTCTTTGGTGTTCTTCATTCTCCTTTGCTCCAAGTGGATTGGGATCAATTGATGCATCTTAGATGGCCACTTGCAAGCTTTTAAGACCCCAGATGCTACTGACCAAAGTGGGATGCAGAACATTTTCTTAATAAACTTTGTTATGCCAGTTGACCTAGATGTCTCTTGACAGCATCGTCCCCAGATCCCCGCCCCTGCTACTCTGTCCCTCAAACTGTTTAGTTCTATTCAGAAAACTTCTTAGCTTTTGGTTTAGTCCAGTTGCACTGACTTCCCCTGTAGTGTGTGTTGTCCTTCCCTTCACCTAATTCTTGTCTACTATCTAGTTAGTGAATAACCCTCACCCTCCCTCCCCACCCTCGTAACCATCAAAGAATGTTTTCTTCTGTGTTTAAACCTTTTCTTGAGTTGTTATAATAGTGGTCTCATACTTGTCCTTTTGCTATTGACTAATTTCACTCAGCATAATGCCTTCCAGATTCCTCCATTTATGTTTCGAGGATTCATCGTTATTCTTTATTGTTGCATAGTATTCCATTGTGTGGATATACCGTAATTTGCTTATCCATTCATCCATTGATGGGCACCTAGGTTGTTTCCATCTTTTTGCTATTATGAACAGTGCTACAGTGAACATGGGTGTGCATACATCCATTCATGTGACGGCTCTTATTTCTCTAGGATATATCCCAAGGAGTGGGATTGCTGGATGGTATGGTACTTCTATTTCTAGCTTTTTAAGGAAATGCCGAATCGATTTCCAAAGTGTTTGTACCATTTTACATTCCCATCAACAGTGTATAAGTGTTCCAGTCTCTCCATAACCAAACATTTATTATTTTGTGTTTTTTGGATTGATGCTAGCCTTGTTGGGGTGAGATGGTATCTCATTGTAGTTTTGATTTGCATTTCTCTAAAGGCTAATGATCATATTTCCTCATGTATCTGTTAGCCGCCTGAATGTTTTCTTTGGCCAAGTGCTTGCTCACATCCTTTGCCCATTTTTTAATTGGGTTCTTTGTCTTTTTTTGTTGTTGAGGTTTTGCAGTATCTTGAAGATTTTAGAGATTAGACCCTGATCGGATTTGTTGTAAACAAATTTTTTTCCCCAGTCTGTAGGTTGTTTTTTTACTCTTTTGGTGAAGTCTTTTGATGAGCACAAGCGTTTGATTTTTAGGAACTCCCAGTTACCTAATTTCTCTTCTGGTGTTTCTGCATTGTTAGTAATGTTTTATATTCTGTTTATGCCATGTATTAGGGCTCCTAGTGTTGTCCCTATTTTTTCTTCCATGGTCTTTATCGTTTTCAATTTTATATTTAGGTCTTTCATCCATTTTGAGTTAGTTTTTGTGCAGGTGTGAGGTATGGGTCTTGTTTGAACTTTTTGCAGATGGATATCCAGTTATGCCAGCACCATTTGTTAAAGAGACTGTCTTTTCCCCAGTTAATGGACTTTGGGCCTTTGTCAAATATCAGCTGCTCACAGGTGGATGAATTTATGTCTGGATTCTCAATTCTGTTCCATTGGTCTATGTATCTGTTGTTATACCAGTACCAGGCTGTTCTGACTATTGTGGCGGTATAATAGGTTCTAAAATCAGGTAGTGTGAGGCCTCCCACTTTGTTCTTCTTCTTCAGTAATGCTTTACTTATCCAGGGCCTCTTCCCTTTGCATATGAGTAACCAGCATTATAACTTTTAATAAAGGTCTAATATAGGTCAACAGTAAATAAATAGGAAAACTGTGAGAAATAACAACTGTTGTATGCTTATGTAACACACACACAACACCAAACCAGCTGCCACTGACTTGATCCCAACTCATACGACCCTATAGGACAGAGAAGAACTGCCCCATAGGGTTTCCAAGGAGCACCTGGTGGATTCAAACTGCCAACCTTTTGGTTAGCAGCTGTAGCTCTTAACCACTACGCCACCAGGGTTTCCTTATGTAACACACACGCATAAAATATACATTAAACTTACTCTTAAATTGGATGTTTTGACCTTTACAACTTAGGGCTGGATGCTGGAAACTCTAGAAATCATAAAAACAAAATACAGAGATTGCTTCTAGCCAAAATGTGTATGCAATTACAGTAGACTGAAGTTAAATATAAACGTACACTACATACATGTCTCCTATACAAACTCTCAGTGAATATTTGCCCAAGTGGGAGAGAATTTGTTCGCTCAAACTGAAAGCTTTTGCCAATTAAAAACATGTAAATGCCCTAGTTACAGAAATATGCTCTCAAAATTACAGGTGTATTATAGTCTACTTCAGTTATTTACATATGAAAACATCAACTAAACTGGTTTATCACTGAGTCATTAAACTTTTTCAATGAATATTGAAAAATAAAAACTTATCCAGAGGGACTGAAAATGAAAATGTGGGCTATTTCAAAATTACATTCACTAATTAGTTGTTGTTGTTCGGTGCTGTCGAGTTGGTTCCAACTCACAGTGACCCTGTAGGACAGAGCAGAACTGTTCCACACAGTTTCCAAGGAGCAGCTGGTAGATTCAAACTGCCAACCTTTTGGTTAGCAGCCGCAGCTCTTAACCACTGTGCCACCAGGGCTCCAGCTGGATTCAAGTTTGGTCCCTAAAGAATATTTAATTTCATTATTCTGTTTTACTATTTTATTGAAATGAACAAGTTCAATCTAAATTACTTGATTATCATTATTTTCTTTTGTTACTTATTTCAAATCATAAAGTTCATGAACAAGATTGCAAAGTTGTGTAAGTATGCTCTATTACAGGTCTACACTTAATTACCAATAAACATTAATGGAAACAATTCTACAAAACATTGTCCTAGGCACAATTTCCTTCTGTTTTGTAAACAATAACTTCTAACCCAGCTCAACTACTAATCACATTTTTAAATTAGGGATTTGAAAAAAAATGTATTAGAGGCACATTTTCAAAAGCAAATACAGTATGAAATCTTGCTTTTCACTGAGCCAGTGAATTTTTGTTTTGTTTTGTTTTTATGGCTATTTGGTTTACTTCATTCTTCTGGGCAAGATTAGTATACAACTCTCATTCTTCTTATAAACAATCAAGAACCCATAAGTCAAACTGTATGAAAATCTAATGCGATATTTTCAGCTGAAGACAAGTAAACTAGCACCATAGGAACAATTGTTCTAAATTTTAATACTGTTCATTAACAGTTCCATTTTCCTGAGTTTACGTTTGTTCTTTGGCATGGGCTTAGGATATAATCCATTTTTCAGAAGATGTTCCTTGCTGAGGCGAATTTTAGCACCATGCTGAAGCTGGAAAGAGCACAAAGCTTGAAGAGGTCGAAGCAAAGTCTGGTAAGGAAAAAAAAAAAAAAGATACTAAGAAAGTATCCGTGACAAGCAGTCGTGATATTCTACCCAGATTATTGTTTTTCAGAAGCAGGAATTACTATGTTTCTTTTTTACTATTATTGGCGTTTAACTGTGAAAATCAATAGACATTCTGATAAATATATAATGATTTCTAAATAAATATTACTTTTAAATTCATACTTTGCACACCACTAAGGAATTATAGTAAAAAAACACAAATACTCTTTTTCCAAGTCTACACTTAGTTTTATACATTAATTTATTCAAAGCACCATGAAAAAACGGTTGCCACTTATGATAATTTAATCTCTGCCACAAACAGGCTAAAAGAAACTTTCAGGTACAAAGACAAGCACATCAAATTAATTCAGCTTTAATCACAGATTGATGCAAGCTTACTGACGCCTAATAACAGATAACAGCAGCAGTGGATAAGCGGTTTACTAATTCTCTCAACACTAGTCCATGGACCACATATAGGTTAGATATTCAGATTTTCATGCATTTGAAATAATTTAGATGGTATATATATCTGTCTAAAATCAAATACCTATAGATCCAGGCATGTAACATAAACATGTGAATTCGGTGGGCCTATAAGACAACAGGGAATGGTAGAGGTTGTAAAAGAACTAGAGTATATGTCCTACCTAAAGTTACTCAAAATTCAAAAATTAAGAAACAAAACAAAACACTATCCTAGTGTTTTAACCACATTTTGGGTTAGATTCTGTCTTTGGCCTGAGACTCCTGATAAACCATTTAAAAAATAATGCCCCCCTTAATTCATTCTATAGAGCAAACATAACCCTGATACGCAAATCAGACAGACACCACAAGAAAAGAAAACTACAGGACAATATCTCTTATGAATACAGATGCAAAAATTCTCACGAAAAAAACAAAAACTAGTGAACACAATCCAACAGCATATTAAAAGAATCATACACCATGACCAAGTGGGATTTATTCCAGGAATGCAGGATGTTTCAAAATTTGAAAATCAATTAATGTAATACACCATAACAATAGAACAAAGGAAAAGAACCACATGATCATCTCTATGGATGCAGAAAAAGCACCAACACCCTTTCTTGATGAAAACCCTAAAGAAGATTGGAACAGAAGGGAAACTCCTCAATACGCTCAAGGTATATATGAAATGTCAACTGCAAACATTATACTTAATGAAACAAAGTAGGAGGACTCACACTTCCTGATTTTAAAAAATACCATACAGCAACACTAATCAAAACAGCCTGGTACTGGTATAACAACAGACACACAGACCAATGGAATAGAATTGAGAGTCCAGAAATAAACCCATACATCTACGGTCAACTGATTTTTGACAAAGGTGCTAAGTCCATTTGATGGGGAAAGAAGAGTCTCTTCAACAAACGGAGATGGGAAAATTAGATTTCCCATGCAGAAAAATGAAACAGGATCATGCCTCACACCATGTACCAAAACAAGTTCAAAATGGATTAAGGACGTAAAACTAAAACCATAAAATTCTTTGAAGAACAAGCAGGGGCAACGATGTTAGGCCTAACTTTCAACAATGGATTATCTAATATAATAACAAAAGAACAAACAGGAAAAGACAAAATAAATAAATGGGATCTAATAAAAACCAAAAACTTTTGTTCATCGAAGGATTTTACCAAAAAAGTGAAAAAACAGGCTACCAACTAGGAGAATATCTTCAGAAACCATCTATCGGACAAGAATCTAATAACGAGAATACATATAAAACTTCAACAACTTAACAACAAAAACACAAATAACCCAATCATAAAATGGGCAAAGGACCTGAATAGACATTTCACCAAACGGGACATTCAAATGGACACCAAACACATGAAAAGATGCTCAGAGTCATTAGCCATCAGAGAGATGCAAATCAGAACCACAATGAGATACCATTTTACTCCCACTAGAATGGCTAAGATAAAAAATAAATAAATAAAATAACAAATGTTGGTGAGGATGCGGGGAAATCGTAACACTTACCCATTGCTGGTAGGAACGTAAAATGTTATAGCCATTGTGGAAAACAGTGTGGTGGTTCCTCAAAAACTAAAACTAGAACTCCCATATGACCTAGCAATTTCACTCCTAGATATATACCCAAAAGATTTGAAAGCAGAGACTCAAAAGAGACTTATACACCAGTGTTCATTGCAGCACTATTCATAATAGCCAAAGGGTAGAAACAACCTAAATACCCATCAACAGATGAAGGAATTAACAAAATGTGGTATATACATACAATGGAATACTACTCAATCGGTAGGCAAAACAAAGTCTTGATACATGGCTACAATATGGATGGAGCTTGAAGACATTATGCTGAGTGAAATAAGCCAATCACAAAAGGACAAATACTGTATGACTTCACTTGCACAAAAAGACAAGAAAATGCAAATGTATAGAGACCAAAGTTTATTAGTGGTTACTGGGGTGGAGGGAGGGAGGAAAGGGGGATTAACAGTGGCCAAAAAATCGCATTGATTAAGGGTAGAGTTGCATAGCTGATTATTGTAATTGGTTAATAAGTTGCACACCTGTAAAAAGTTGAATTCGTAAAAGTTATGTATTTACAATGACCAAAAAAAAAAAAAAGAGTAGCTGCTGAGGCTGCTTATGTAGAACCAAACGCCTCATGGGATTTGGTTTCTTGGTTCGGAGGTTTAGGGTCATGGTTTCATGGGACATCTCAGTTAATTGGCCTAATAATGTGTTTACTGCTTCTGTTCTACCTCATAGTTTGTTGCCCACTTTCTGGGGTCTTAAAAGTTTGCAAGTGGCCATCCAAGGCACAACAATTGGTCTCTGTCTACCTGGAGCAATAGATGAAGAAGGAGAGTCAGGAATAGGAGGAGGATATGGAATGTATGGCTAATTGCCTCCATGAACAACTGCCTCCTTTACTATGAGACCAGAAGAACTGGAAGGTGCCCAGCTAGGATTACTGAACATTTTGATCAAAGATTCTACACAAGAATTCTGATCAGAAGGGAGAAAATGCAGAATAGAATTTCAAATTCTTATGGACTTTAGACTTTCTGAAACCATAGAAGGTGGATGAAACCCTGAAACTATTGCCCTGAGATAATCTTTAAACCTTAAACCAAAAATATCCACGTAAGTCATCTTAAAACCAAACGACAGTTTAGCTTAACTACTTAAAAAGGCCTCTCTTGAGCATTATGCTCTTTTAAGAACTATCTATATGGGATGAAATTGACAACAGCAACTCAAAAGATTAGATAGGAATCTTATGGGGCAGTGAGTTTATGTTAATGAGGGAGGGACAACTCAGGAAAAGGAGGGTGAGAGTGGTTGCACAACTTGAAGAATGTAATCAATGTCACTAAACTGTACCTGTACAAACTTGAATTCATGTATGTTTTTGCTGTGCATATTCTCAATAACAACAAATAAATTTAGAAAAAAAATAATGGCAAAAACTTGACTGAGCAGACATCAAACCTCAAAGGAACACACAAGGAACAAAGAAAAAAAATTTAACTAAAAATGTTTCACAGTATCTATATGAAAAACTTATTCCCCCACATATACAAGTGGTATTAAAAAATTTAATAACATTAATTTACAATGAACTCTTATAAACTATGGCACTAACTGGTAGTTGCTTCTCCATATCCATTCTTTTCTTCCTTATTAAAGGAACCCAAACGTTTTCAAGGTAGCAACGTGTCCAAGTAATAATACTACACTGGCTACATGACATAGTTCTCTATCCAACAAGATATTAGGAGAAGTCCTTGGGTGGGACTCCCAGAGATACTCTTCCTGGCAGGAACATGATGTTAAATCTGTGGCAACTATCATGTGACTACTAGGCCATTAGAATGGGGATTAAAGCCAAATACATAAAATGATTGAGAGACACACAAAAGTCTGGGTCTCAGATGTTCATGGCGAGCTGCCTTATCGGCCCCAGACTGCCCACCTCAGCATTTCTTATTTATAGGAGAAAAAACAAACAAACAAAACACATTTGGATTAGCCACTTAGTAAGAGTTCTATTACATGCAGCCAAACATAATTACTAACTGATAAACACTAATTAAAAAAAAAAAGACAAACATATTGGAAAAGATCTGTACCACATCATTATAGAAAATCACTAGGTATGTTCTCATATTTTTTTAATGCATTAAAACAGGAGAGAGAATGAGGAAATAACTATATACTATTTGGGAGATTCAACACAGTGGTTCTAGAATGGATCTGAAACATCATTCCTGGGAACATTCTGGCCTGTATATAGACTGAGACAGTTGAAGTTTTCATTAATATTTCAATCTATAGGCAAAGAGTAAAGGGACAAGAAAGGGCCAAAGGATAAACTCTTGAGTGCCTATGTTCCAGGCAATTAACAAAAATTATCTCATCAAGATTTTTAGGAGTTTTAATGTTAAGTAGCATATAAAACAAAGAATTGGGTTTCTCGCAGTTAAAATAACAAAATTTTCTTTGATTTCTGAGTTAAAGGGTTTATTTATTCTTTGTGTCCATTTCTGCTTCTGAGAAAGTGACTCATGACTGTTAATAGGTAAACCAAGGAGGGGGCAGCTTGCCCTTGGGAAGAACACTTTGTATGTTTTAAACAGACTAACTGAAGACCTCCTACAGGAAAGGTCCATCCTGTATTATCTTGCTAATCATTCGTTCTCTAATGAAAACCAGTCACACGTAAATTTTTCTATATTTTCTGTTTCTTCTAGACAAACTTTGTGTGCTTCTGATGGATATATGTTTCTGTGTAGATATGTTTCTAATTTAGATGATTCCTTTCCCTTTCCAACTGATAGTGAATTTGTGTGGGCAATCTCTTGTTTAGATTCCTGAGCAATGCATAGACAATACACTTCGGAAACTTTAGGATTACTTTTAAGTATTCATAGTAACAATGCTAGTAAATATTGAAAAGGTAATGTTAAAAT